AATTTAGTGTAACATTTTTGCGTTACGCGCCATCTTGTTGTTGTGGTTTTAATAGTTGACGCTAGATGGCGTTAGTTCCTTTGTGTGTTCATAACAATATATATATATATATATATATATATGTAACAAAATCAAAGGGTTTATTTTAATTCTAATTCTAAAATGTAAACAATATATTTCGTATTTCAGTTACCATAAGCCCATAATGCAACATATAATAAGCCATAATAACACAAATATATAATAACGACATCAATGATAGTAATAATGTCTATTACAATTAATGAAATTCAATAATAATATTTGTAGTAATGACAGTGCTAGCTCTAATACTTCAGAGCACGGACACTGTAGAGACTTCCTCTTCTCCAAAGGCAGGCACCGCCCACCGAAGACACAATCTGAAGCTGACCGATGATGCTCTTCGAAGCCTCGATCGGCTTTTGGAACTTGCGGTTGCGACGTCGATCCAACGTCCGCAAGTTCGGTTTTCCACAAAAACTTAACTCATAACACTCTCGCGCGAGTCGAATGTCTGCATTCTACTCACTGGCTGACTATTCGGCAAAGAAGGACGCAAGTTGCAAGTTTTTTAATCAACAATTTTTGCGGACCCTCATACTAATTACAACGGTCAAACCATAGTCTGTTTTAATTTACTACTAACGCCACCTATGTGTTACAAATAAGAAACTAAATATTATACAAAGCTAAAATGAAATAATTGTAGAAATTGTATTTATGTCTATGATAATAAAAGCCTTTTATTAAACTTTATCTAATTTAACTTTATTTAACCAATTTCTGTAAAGTTGCATATAGTAAATTATTTTTTGAAAAATAACGTCATAAAAAAGTTTCACTTCTTACGAGTGTACGCTAGTATTTCATTTCATTTTACCCTAATTAATAATTCATATCATTTTCAATTGCAAGGCAATATTTGTAGATCAATTCGTACGAAAAAGTTGAAAGTCATATCTAGAAACATCTACAAATAACTTTAAAGATATTTCCTAGACACTTTCTAACATTGCAAATTGAAGAAATCTAGTCGAATCGCTTTGGCAGGAAATACAGATTTAGTAACCGTTTGCAGTAATATTATGTTATACGTAATTCACGATGAAACTCGGAATTTAGTTTGCCATCGTGACGCGACATGTTTCCTTGTAATGCCATTGACCGACCACGAGCTACATTTATTAATGAGAAATTTCACATGTTAAATTGCATGAGATATTATAAAGTAAGCATTTACCTTGCTTTGACTGGATTAGAAGATGAAGTTAAAATTAATTTATTGTTTTCATTTTAATGATGATTGGGTTTTTTGTACGAGTCTTATTTATGGGCACAATTAGCACAATTATTTAAAATGTTATTCTTGTAACGGCTGCACTTAGAGAAGCAATTACCGTTAATTAAGCGTTAAATTTATTTGTGTCAAATAGATGTGGAACTAGAGAACGTTGTGTAAAAATGTGTCTTAAAATATTTATACCTATTTATACATTTATATAATCGACAAGGGGCAAGCCGGGGAAGTACCGCAGCAGCGTTAGACTGTCTAACTGGAATTTCCCACTCTCAGTGGTTAGTAACGCGCCTGCAACATCTCTGATTGTGAGCGTCCTTGGATTGCAATTCCCTCTGACAGTCAGGTGAACCGTTTGCCAATGAAATAAAAAAAAGATTGTAAGGTGTTATATGCTGTAAAGGATGCACACTTGTGGCGCCAAGCATTGCTAAAAATGCAAAAGAACGAACGTAGATAGATTTCTAGGTTTTCATCCGTTTGTTCATTTATGTTGTTTAACGGTGGTAGGGCCACGCAGCAGCCTCGGCTGTTGCACGAATGGGCAGGCTCGTCCGGGTAAGTACCACGAGCTCACAGAAGACCGGCATAAAGTGGATGTATAATACTTTCGCGTTTCGTCTGGTGAGTGAGGTAGCCGGAGCCCATTTTTCAAAAGGTTGTCAACGCAAACAACTCAAACCCTTGGGTGTAGCTTGGGTGTCCAAGGGCGGTGGTATTCACTTAACATCAGGTGAACCACCTGCTCGCTTAACAAATTTTCACATAAAAAAAAATGTACAATTAAAAAATATATTGTAGAGCCACGCAGCAGCCTCGGCTGTTGCACGAATGGGCAGGCTCGTCCGGGTAAGTACCACGACCTCACAGAAGACCGGCGTAAAGTGGAAGTATGACAAATACTTTCGCGTTTCGTCTGGTGAGTGAGGTAGCCGGAGCCCAATTTCCAAAAAGGTTGTCAACGCATCTGCAAACCCTCGGGTGTAGCAGATGTCTATGGGCGGCGGTATTCACTTAACATCAGGTGGACCGTCTGCTCGTTTGGCAACTTTTCACATAAAAAAAAAAAAAAAAAAATTGTACGTTACGGTTTTCTGATAGTCGTGCTGCACAGCTTTTTTGACTCTTTTTGACTCTTCAAATCGTTAAGCAACTGATGACTATTAAAGTAAGCGAGCAAGCAATTCACATGACGGTAAGCCAATGTACAGCTAAAACTCTTTGGGGGTGGCAAATGCCTGTCACTCACCAGACGACACGCAAACGTATAACACTCCCACTTCACGCCGTTTTGCAGGCCGTGGTATTTCCCCGGACGTGGCTGCCCATTCGTGCACTTAGCTGCTGCTTGGCTCTACCACGTGGTATATTTCGAAGATATGTGCTTATCAAAAGAAATATGACATCGAACACATCGGTACTACGTACCTACTCAAACAAATTTCGTTTCCCACTTACGTACTACGTACTTAATTAGCTAATTAGTTTTCCCGCAATCTTTAATAGTAGTTTTAACCGGCTATTTTCCGTAATTGAATAAGTACACAACAAAATGAGAATAAAAAAGCGGTGACATGTCGCTGTAAGTCATTACCTTAATTTTACATACTCGCTTTAAAATGTCATAACTTACGTAAGTTTTGTGTCGCCTTTTCGAGAGAAAGTTTTTTGTTTTAATAATCACTTTCTCCAGTAGGTTGCATATAGCAAGTCGCTACCTTTCTATTCGTAATAACTTTTATTAAATGCAGAGTTATTCCACCACCCTTCTTTGTAAGTGGTCACGACGTTCCTTCTACAATCGTTTTCTGCCGGAACACGATATTCATGTCCATATTCATTTTTTGTGTAGGACGACTCCTCTCTAGATGTATAGTCACGACCAGAGTAAATGTGCGGGAAGTATGGATGCGGACGGCACATAAGCATGCTTCGTGGCAATCTGTGGGGGAGCTAATGTCCAGTAGTTGACTAAAACAGGCTGGAATGATAATGTTGACAAAAATCTGTGTTAATTATTCCTTATCTTTTTCTTTTTCACAGTATTAGATTCTGTCTAATATTGTGGAAAAGAAATAAGAGTCACTTAAAGTCTTAATAAATAATAAAACGAGAGTAAACTAACGTATTTTTATTAACAATGTAAATCAGTTTAGTATTTGCTTATTCACACTTATATTGTATATTTAATCGTATTAATGTTGTGGGATTTTTCGTTATAGCTCAATATAGGGTAATAATAAGGTATCTGTAAATATGTATGTCCCTTTAATAGTGTATTTCTTTTAGCATTGCAAAATGTTATGTATATATATATATATACATAAATGTTATTGGTTCTTTTATTTACACGTTGTTAAGCCATTTTAACACTCTTTCTCGTATTTATTTATATATTGTTGTCTACAATAAACTATGGCAGCACACGTGGCCGAAAAGAAATCATCAGTGTTAGGCGTCGCATCGTTCATTTCGGCATTTCTCCTCTCTTAAATACACGTTCGAATAGAAAACTGTATCTTCCGATACATAAAACCGCTGGAGCGTGACCGAGACGGAGAAACAGGCGTACGGTGGTGCCAACAGCTACGCCGTGATGAAATTCTGAAATTGTGTGTGTTATGCGCAGTTTGCGTTGACCTAGGTACGCGATGACTCGATTTCTGCCTTCTTTGTGCTTTCCATCGTTTGATGCTCAGTTCGTGTGTAATATTATTTAACTGGACTCCCGATGATGTGTATCCATTGCCTCATTAGTAGTGAAACTCGTGGATGATATTTATATACTCACGACACAACGAATTTAGGATCAGTAAAGTATTCTTTATTGAACTGAACATTTGATTTGTAAAAGACACTGCGCTTACTTTATAATAACATTATCCTGTGTTGTAAGGACGTTTTATAAACATAAATTTCACGTGGACAAACACCCAATGCGAAACAATTATCTGTGGATCACACAAATAGTTGTCCCGAGTGAGAATCGAACCCATGACCCCCGTCGCCGAAGCCAATACCTCGGCAACTACGTCACATAGTAGTCAGTCATCAACATTTTCGTTAAACAGGCTGATAACAGATTAACACAGGGTCTAATAATAAGAGAAAACTTCCATGTAACTTTCAACACAAAAGGGAAGTATGGTCGTAGTTTATGTATAGAAACTACATTTTGACGACTGCGTTCTAGATGGTCACATCTTGATGACTCGAAACTGACTGACTTGAAACTTCTTTGGTTGGTAACGTGTGGTAGCTGAGCAAATATAAAAGAAACGACACTCTAATTTACATTAATAAAGTACTCCCAGTGAAAGTAGACGAGCTTGTCATCAAAATTGTTTGGCGGCGGGTGACGCGTCTATTGTTCTCTTAGCAGTACCGTCACTCAGCCTTATGTCACCTCTGAAATTGCTGTTATGTCACACCGTCTAACTGTCACCTTACGTTGAGCGGTAATCTGCTCGTCTTCAGTTAAGTCGAATTTTCGCCGAAACTCGAAGCAGTCTTAGTGAGGCAATAATAGATGAATGGGATGAACTCTATTGTAGACAATAAATAAAAACTTTCAATAATTCAAAGGCGATAGAAAGATTTTCTGTTTTAATATTTAAAGCTTTGTTGGTTTACACATCAGAGGTTTTTAAATTATTTTTTTGTTGTTTCAGGTTATGAACAAATGTACACGATATCACAACTATCACCAAAGTCCATTATGAGCGAGAAACTAGCATTAGATGACGTCCTACAGACAACGCAAACAGAGAACTTATCTTTTAGGATAGAGCCTAGCGCTAAATATAATTTAGATATCGATATAGAGCCCGAGGACGTTTTAAAGGAAGAAGAGATTGAGAACCATATTATCGTGGCTCGATCAGCAGACCCGAACGACAGGGAATCACGATCTATTAATAATGAGGACATACCCACATCGAATCACAACGAAGATTGACAACGAACTAGAACTACACAACAAAAGAAAATACTACGAGATACTACCAACGAAAACGTTACAATACAACGAAGACAGAGACAGCGAAGAAATGATTTTGTCCTCCGAAGGGTACGGCGATAAGCTGAGCTTCACGTTTCCGGGGGAAGCCAAAAGGGTCCCGAAGGGGCGCGCACTAGCTCCTGCGGGGCCCAAGATACGGCCTACTGCAGTGCAACCGATCTTCGCGACGGCCAGCCTTAAAGAACAGGGCCGACAGAACTCGGAGATTCAGAACATCATCACTGGAATCGTCAAGCTTTTGAATGGGAATGTTAACGTGCAAGCCAATACGCAGCTGTTGAACGGGAGGCCGGGGCGGCCGATGGCTTCCAGGATAAACAATCGCGGGCCGCCGAAGATATCGGACGTGCCGCCGATACCGGAACTCGATCCGATTATAACCCCACCGGCGTACGCGTTTCACCCGACGAAAACGCCGCCGCCGTACCCCTTCGACCGACCGCCCTATCATGGTGTCAATTTACCCGAGCAAATTGTCCCACCAGTGTCACCTCATAGGCCGGGCTTCCACCGACCAATGCCTCCCTGGCAAAGGCCTCGACCCAGGCCGCCAAACCGACGGCCCAACCCTAATCTGCCGATATACAAGCCAACACCCCCGCCTCCACCGATAGACATTCCAAACTACGACGAGCCCAGACCCGGAGAAGAAGGTGTTAGCGAGAATGAAGCTAGTCACTCCGAAAACAACATATCCGATAATAAGGAGCAACATCAGTTGCCAAATTCACCGGAAGTCGATAAGGACGAAATACAGCTCACCACAGCTGACACAACGACGCCATCAACCACAACAACTACGACAACGACGACGACGGAATCGACAACGACAACAACGGAATCCACAACCACGACAACGACCACCACGACAACTGAGAAACCGACCGAGCCGCCGACGGAGAAACAAACGGAACCGCCCACCGAGCAACCGACGCAGCCGCCGACTGAGAAGATTCCAACGACCACGGAAAAGCGCGAAACGCTCATCGACAAAAAGGAAAAGAAGAAACACTCCGAGAAAGAGAAGCAGAACAAGGACATAAATAGAGTTGTGGAGGGGCGACCGAGATATGAAATATCCAAGAACGACACTTCAGCTGGACAGGTGCTCGAGCCGTCAATGTCTGAATCCAGCTCGACCACAACTACCAGTGCGCCAACACCCACAGAAGGATTGATTAGCCACGCGCCAAGCGATACCCCAACTCTTATCAGCACCATAAAGACTTCATCGATTAATTCGCAACCTTTACCATGTAAGTTATTTAAATGATTTTTACATGTTAATTTTATAATTCATTGAATGGTTTATTTAATTCACTTTACCTCGAGATTTACCTATTAAGTCAAAAATTGTTAACGCGCCTACTTTTCTTTACCGTTTTTATCATCTTCCATTTTCAGTTGCACTGTCCTTTTAAAACAGTAAACTTTTGGGCAAATAACATTTTCGCGAAACCTCGAATCGTAACGATATTGATTTGTTAAAACTGAAAACAAAAATTTTATGTTTTTACCGTTGGACTGACTTTATCAAGTAACCTTTAATACATTTTTTTTATGTGAGGAGCTGGCGGTTCACCTGATGTTAAGTGATAACCGTCGCCCATAGACATTTGCAACACCCGTGTTGTAGCATATGCGTTGCTAATTTTTATTAAAGTGGGCCCCGACAATCTCCCGCACCAGAGGAAACGCAGAAGTGTTCAACACTTCCACCCTTCACTCCGGTCTTCTGTGAGGTCGTGGTACTTACCCGGACGGACCTACCCACTCGTGCAACAGCGGCTACTGTTGTTTGGCCTACCACCCATAAATTATCAAATATTCACAATTTAATTGTAAGTTTTACGTTCTGTGCACTCCCAGCTTCCCAGGGCATCCCGTACCACCCGTACCGGCCGAGGCCAGGAATAGTTCTGGACGACCCGGCACTTCAAGCCACACGGTACCCGGTACAGGCCTGAAGCCTCCGTTATCACGGCCCCGCCGGAGCCCCAACTCCCTGGATACGGGGAGATATTCGACGTGACAGTCTCAGCGATACAAGGCCCGGGAGAAAAGGGAGCCTCCGGTGAGTAGGATTGCGTGGTAGCTAACCAGTGTACATTATTACAGTTATATGGATGATAAAAATGTGTTTCGTCTGGTTAGTCAAACTGGTATCACCGTATTAAAGGTTGATATCGTATCTAAGGCTCGTTTTTTCATAAGCAAGCTTTATTATCGCAGGTGTCGACAGCCATATGTGGTATAATCGCTTTTTTATTTTATTGGAAAAATTTATTTTATTTTATTGGAAAACTTACAGCTATTAACAGATTTAATTAAGTGATTTAAAGTACTTAAGAAGCCATTTACAAGTCTTCACATTTAGTAATCTTAATTTATAGGAATTATAGAAAATAAAAAGCATAAGGAATAATAAGACCAAGAGTACAATGACAAAAACAAAAGAACAACTGTAAAGCTAACAATTTTTTTATCCAACAAAGTAATCCTTAGTAAGGAGTGCTTTGGCAACCGCTGGTGAGGTATGAAATGGGTCAATATCCGTTTGTTTATTCATGATCTTTGCTGTCCTTATCATAAAGTAATTACTTCTATAATTTGTATTACATTTTGGAGTGTGGAAAGTTTTACGCTTTCTTTTGTTTGGTAATGGAACATTCAACAGGATTTCAGATAATAGCTCAGGTGAGTTAATAGATCCTTTAACAATTTTCAAATGCATACAAACGTCGTTGATATTTCGTCGAACATACAATGGAACAAAATGGTACCGGCTACATCTATCATTATAATCTCTAGACTTTATATGTGCTTTATGATCTAGATATTTTAAAAATCTTTTTTGAATGCACTCAATACGTGATTTATAGATCTCGTATTGTGGACTCCAAACCTGTGAGGCATATTCTAGTATAGGTCTAACATAAGAGCAATAAAGAATTTTGATAGGTTTTAGGTCGTGAAAAGCAGATGTGCTACGGATAATGAAACCCAAGGTTTTATACGCTTTAGATACTATATAATCTATATGCTTATCATAAATAAGTTTATGATCTTGGGTAACTCCAAGATCGTGCGCCTCATACACTCTGTGAATTTGTGTATCCTTCAGTAGATACCTGCCTTCGATGGTGGTGTTTTTCCTCGTAAACGACATAAGAAAACACTTCTGTACATTTAACTCCAACTTGTTTCGGTTACAATATCCTTCGAATGTAATTAGGTCTGATTGTAGTAACTTTTGATCTTGGAAATTTCTAATAACTTTTAGCACTTTCATGTCATCCGCATACATTAGTATTTTGGAGTGTTTGAAACATTTTTCTATGTCGTTCACAAATATAACAAAGAGCAGTGGTCCTAAAAGGGATCCTTGAGGTACACCTGAAGGGATGGATAACCAGACGGACATAAAACTATTGAAAACAATTGCTTGAGATCTGTTTTCAATATAGGAGGCAAACCACCTCAAAAGGTCCCCATGTATTCCTGCTACCATTAACTTATTCAGAAAAATTTTATGGTCAATCCTATCGAAGCACTTGCTGTAATCTGTATAGATACAGTCTACTTGGTAGCCATCATCCATACCCTTAGTGATGTAATCGTGTGTAATAACTAGGTTAGAAACTGTCGATCTCTTCTTCAAAAACCCGTGTTGTGCAATGCTTAGCCTAGGTGAAATATAAAAGTAAACTTGATTATGTACTATTTTTTCTAATACTTTTGCGAATAAGCATAGTTTTGATATAGGACGATAATTATCTATTTTATTATTATTCCCCTTTTTAATTACAGGTGTAATATACGCCTGTTTCCAGATTTTAGGAACAACTCCTTCGGATATAGAACGTCGGTATAATATAAATAGAGGTTGAGATAGTTCCTGAGCACAGTTAATTATGAAATGAGGGGATATCCGATCAGGTCCACCCGACTTAATCCAAAGTCTTAAGTAATTTACTAATTTCACTCTTTACAATACAAATTGTATGCATATTGTCCGAATGTTGAGTTTGTGGTTCATTGGCTGAGTCAATATTAGTCTGTAAGTTGTTCCCATCTGGTGTAGAGAATGTAGAATAAAAATATTTTGAGAATAAATCGACAATTTCTTGGCCATTAACAGCTACTTCATTGTTTAGAATCATATTACTGGGGATGGAATGGGTAATCTTACTTCGTTTGACGTAGCTCCAGAATGTCTTTGGATTGCTTGCAACGTTTTTTTCCATCAACATAATATAATTTTTGTAGCATTCTCTTTCGATCTCCTTAGCTCTAGCACGTAAACATGAAAACGATTCGTAGTCAACAAGATTTCCGTATGTTTTAAATTTAAGATGGAATTTACGTTTGCTACGAAGTGTTTTTATTAAAGGCCGATTATACCAAGGTGGGTAAAGAGAAGATTTAACATCTTTGATCGGAATATATAAGGCCCTCAGTTCATACAGTTTCTTATAAAATAAATCAATTGCTTGATCTAAATTTACCCCATAAAGCATAGATTCCCAATCGCATGCATTTAACTCCGATCTTATCTTGTCGTACTTCCCCTTAGAGTAATTGTATTGGGTCTGTGTTAATACGGGGAGTTCGCTGACTTTTATTGACATTATAAGGATGGACAGCGCTTTATGATGAGCATCCTCAGGAATAAGTGGGTCACATGCTATGACTTGGGCTCTAGAATTACACAGAACTAAATCCAAAATTACGTCATTAATATTACATACACTATTAAACTGATATAGCCCTAAATAAAGCAATGTATCTATGAAGAAACTATAAATGTCTGACGAATAATTTGTCGCTATCATCTCCATGCTATCCGTTTTATGAATCCATTTAATGTATGGTAGGTTAAAGTCACCAGTAACTACAAATTTGTCTTTGGGGTGAGAAAACATAATGTTTGTTAGTTTATCACAGTAATTGTACAGCTGCGTAGCGAACGAGTTCCCATTATTTTCTTTACACATATACAGACAACATATATGTGTTCGGCATTTATTAATAGTTAAAGTTACCCATAAATCTTCAGCAGACGACAGCCAATCCGATTGTTCAATAGAATTATAAAGACTTTTTACTGCTATAAGTACTCCACCACCCAATTTTTGTCCCGTTTGATAATAATTGCGGTCTCGCCTCCATACAGTATATCTATTATCAAATAGTTCAGCACTATTTATGCTATCAAGCAACCAAGTCTCTGTCAGGCATACAACATCGTAATTATTAATACAAGTATTTCTATAAAATTCATTAGTTTTTGACCTAAGACCCCTCACGTTCTGATAATAAACATTTAATGACAAATAGAACAACAATATAAACAATAATTTAAATAATAATATCCGAAAGTACCAAGTGTATTAATTAGAGTAGGTATATGAAAAAATCTTTGTGTGTTGCTTATTAATACGAAGGCAGGTAACTCATTAGGAAGTAACACCCAATTCAAAAGTAAAAATATTGTCCATTTAAATAGTACACCTAAGTAGTCACGAAATATCAACTTTAAGCTTGTACTAATTTGGACTAAATTGGCGTAAAAAAGAACTTGTTTACCTGCATTAACTTTCCGTTCGTACAAACAATAGTGCATATGACTCACTACGACCCGACCAGTGGTGCCCAAGCCTCGGTTTGATGTTATTAGTTTAATGTTATTCCTGTTTTTAGAAGTTGTTAACTTTCGATAAAGACCTAGATTATTTTATGGAGGTCCGTTTCCGTCTTTATAGTCAGTATCGGAGATGTCGCATTCCTTCGAACTAGGATTTTACCTTTTTAGTTTTTTACCCATACAAATAAATAGTTTTTTTCTTTAGCAACCGTTTTCGTCTTATTGAGTAATGTTTTATTGCCACTTGTAAGATGGTCATTTACGAATATTCGGTTGTTTCCTTGAAGTCCCAGTGATGAAGCGGTAAGTGGCGATTTATTAGAGTACCTCCTTGCAGCAACAATAAAATCTTCTTTAACAAATCGATTGTTAAAACACACAACAATTGGTTTAACGCTGTTAGGATCTCGATTGGGAACTCTTGAAATGTAATTAATTAGATTTTTCGTTAGTGAAAAATTCACTGTAGATCCTATGGATGTCACAATATCAAGAAGATTTTCCCCGACTTTCATGGGTACTCCCTTGATTTCTGCGTTGTTCAGACGAGCCCATTGATCTCTAGTCTGTATTTGTGCTTCCAGGGATTCGACTTTTTGATGTAGTGAGACAATGTTCTCCTTCTGCTTTTCAACTATAGAGACCCTAGATTCAATGTTCAATATTTTCTTCGAAAGTTCTTGAACTGTATTGCTTGTTTGGACATTTGCTTTTTGAAGCTGTGCCAAATTTTCCTTAAGCAACTTAATGTCCGCTACAATAGCATCCAGGGGATTAAGTTTAACTGATATGTCCTTTATCTCCTTCATTAGTTGAGCTAGAGTGATTTCTTGATCTCCTTCTACAACCCCTACCGACTTTACGTCCGGTGCCTGGGTAGGGGATTTGCCATGTACTTGCCTTGTTTGCATCTCGAGCAACGCCATGTCGACCTTCGATCTCCCAGTCTACGGTATCCGGCTTCACTAATACCAGCGCAATGGAAATGAAGAGAGCTTTTACATAGGCAGCAGTCGGCCCCATCACCAACTTGTTCTTTGCATTTCATACAGATCGCCATATTGTGGAACACACGCGGTTTAAGAAGCCCTGACTAAAGAACGACGAGTACTGTTGCACTATTTATGCAAAAACGAGCTTTATGATCAATTGAACAAGGTCTAAAAGAACTATAATGTATAATATGAATTAAACGATGAAATTAGGTAGTTTAAGCGCACACGTCCGAATCGATCAAAGGTGACTAATTAACCTTTACTCTAGGTTAACCGCTTACTTGGCAATTTTTAGAATAAAAAATATGTGTATATGTATATATGAAAAAATTTTACTCTCATAATTTTTCCAAACGTGCCAAAAGAAGTATAATTCAAAAATATTATTTTTGGATATGAAGGCAACAATAATACTTTCCTTCGCAAATTCTCATTTTATGTACGTGTCCATGCACTCTCTTAACGTCAGGTTAACTAACCGCTTGTCATCATCACACAAATACGTTTATATCTTAAATAACTTTATTCACGAAAACGAATATCGAATTGAGTCTATATTTAGACTGTAATGTACGGGGACCAAGACGGAAACGATTAGGCTAAATGACAATACTCATCCTGTGTGTCGCCTCTCAAATATATATATATATATATATATATATATATATATATATATATATATATACTTACCCGTCGTATGGTAACATTTTAAAGCCGCCCAGTTCTTTAATTTTTTTTAAGTTCTTTCATTTGCTCCACGCATGCGGGAAGCACTAGTGTGTATGCTATATATTACAAGCTTCTTCAATCAATAGCTGAAGGTCAATTACATTCAGACAGAGGTACCCGCAAGTTGCTTTTTCAGCTGCCTGTTTAAATACCGACCAAGTGTGAGTCGCACACGAATGGTTCCGTACCCTTATCTATAAAAACGGCATAAAACATGTCTGTTGTATGGGAGCCCTACTTAAATATTTTTTTATTCTGCTTTTATACTTTTTTTATTTTTCTTTTTTAATATTTGCTGTTATGACGGCAACAGAAATGCATCATCTGTGATTTTTCAAAATTTCAACTGTTCAAATGTCACGGTTCATGAGATACAGCCTGGTGACAGGTGGACAGACGGACAGCGGAGTCTTAATAATAGCGGGACCCTATTACTAAGACTCCGCTGTCCGTCTGTCCGGACTTTACCATTCGGATACGGAACCCTAAAAAGTACCCTTACTTCAGTGCACATAGAGACTGTTCACGCGCCGGGTCCCGGAGACCACGACGACATCATAGTGTCCGCCACCGGTGCCCAGGGCTTCGTGTCGATCGACGGCAAGCGCACCTACCTCAACCTGTTCGACACCACGGCGACCAGCGTCCAACCCACCAGGGTGCAGGCGGTGCCGCAACATTCCTGTAAGTATACTGTATCTGATGAAATACAGAGGAGAGTACTGAGGAGATACCCTGACTGAGGTTTCAGATAGTTTCTTAGCCAATATTAGTGAGCTCCTTGTATTAATTGATTTTAACGCTTTCCGTCCCGAGACTATTAAAGCTTCATCGAGCGCAGAACCGGCGGGCTAGCGAGAACCCACGGGTTTGAAGCCCTCCACAGTTGGTAGGGGCACGCATGTGTTCATGCGTGCGTTGGCTAAGGACTGTCGCCTACGGGCTATCGAGGTTCGGTGCTGACCGTGACCCCGATAGCCGTTGACTGTGCTTGGTTAGTTGGTGGCTGGGGGCGGTGAGAACCGCCCTGGAATGCATGGGGTATGTAGTGTACGCGTTATTTTGGTTACGCCCGATTACGAAATAGTGTTTGCTGTTGCACTAAGTGTGTAGTGTTATGTGACGGGGTTATTCAGCAGTTGCTGTTGTCCGTATATCTGGCTCGAAGGACCAGATGTTGAAGATTTTGGTATTAAAATTCAAAACAACTCGTAGTTTTCCATTGGTGTATAATTAGCGTTAATGTAAAAATTAATTAGTACAAGTTTCAAGGAAAACTTTACAGTTTATGTATTTTAATGTGATTGGTTCAGCGTCACATTAAAGATTATAACGTGATATAAAGATGATGATTTCGGTAGAGTCAACCAGATTCTCAAAACCCCAACCAGTTGTGTGGTATCGCGATGTTGTGTTCGTCCCAGCCCCGCCACAAGTACCGCCCCACCAGCCTCTGGGGCCGGGCGTGGGCACAGGGGTGGCGATGCCGGCGGACGACGTGCCCCCGCCCCCTCCCCGCCGCCCGCACCCCCCGCACCCGCTGCAAACGCGCCCGCAGCAGCCCTACCGCCGGCCGCAACCAACAGTGCGGTAAGACCTCCACGCGATGGGAACAAACCCACGCAAAGCAGCCGGGAGAGGTTGAAGTAAACAACTACAAATCGGAAGAAAAGAATACACTGAATATAATATCAAAATCCAAAAAAAAATATATAAAATCAATACAAAGATAATGGAACCCTGAAATCGAGCGACGGGTCAAGGGGAAGTTTTTTAGTCTTAGTTATGCCTTAATTTATAATAAATAATTTCTCTAATTTAATTATTTACATTTTTTTTAATGTCTCGGTGGAGCAGTTGCTACGGCATTGGCTTACGCGCCGGGATACGTGAGTTCATTTCCCACCTTGGACAAGTATTTGTGTGACTCGCAGATAATGTTTCCGGATTCGGTCTTTGGGACGCGTGATTTTTTTTTTTATGTAAAACGTTCTTACAACCCAGGATAATGTTACCCAACAGCAAGGATGTTTTCGAAAGGAAGACCACTCATGGACATTTGCAACACCCGTAGTGTTGCAGAAGCGTTACCACCTTTAAATAAAGTGGGCCCCGGTCACCTCACTCACCAGACGAAACGCGGAAGTGTAACACTTCCACTTCGCGACGGTGTTCTGTGAGGTCGAGGTACTTCCCCGGACGGACCTGCACAATCGTGCAACGGCTAAGACTGCGTTTTTTTATGTGAAAAGTTGCCAAACGAGCAGACGGGTCACCTGATGGTAAGTGAATACCTCCGCCCATGGACATCTGCCACACCCGAGGGTTACAGATGCGTTGACAACCTTTTGAAAATTGGGCTCCGGCTACCTCACTCACCAGATGAAACGCGAAAGTATTTGTCATACTTCCACTTTACGCTGGTCTTCTGTGAGGTCGTGGCACTTACCCGGACGGGCCTGCCCATTCGTGCAACAGCCGAGGCTGCTGCGTGGCCGTACCACAGCTAAACCTCTTTAATTCTTCCCACAGAATAGACACCTGCATAGTTGGAGACGACTCCACCTGTGATCAGGCGCAGAACGAGAAATGCAGAACGGAAGCAGGTGAGGTGCTGATGCTATATTTAATAACGGAAAGAAAAGTATCTTATTTGAGGGAGCACAATTGTTTAACAACTTACCCAATTATCTTAAAGAATGTTATAGTATAAATATATTCAAAAGTAAATTAAGAAAATATGTAAGCATGCTATTTTTGTAATGTATAATGTAACATGAAGAAAAAAAATAATTCCAGTATTTACTAGTAGTTTTAGTATTATCCAAAAATACCTATGCCAGAAGTGTAAACGCAATATTTATTAGATAATGAAATTTAAATTCAAATCTTATTTTAAACCAACTGTTATAGTTTTTATAAGAAATGAACTTCTTTAAACCGAATAATCCTTATTCTTCTATCTCTAGCTTCAATACTGTCACATCTTCTTTTTCGTTTTATATTATCACCTCACGATCTGTATCAAACACTTAGTACTTATTTTATCTAGAATGCAATACTCATTTAATCTTTTTGCCACTCCTCGAAGGCAAGGGTTGTTTTCGATGTAACGAATGTCCATGGCAAAAATGGCAATTCTGTTGTATAAAAGCCTTTCTGCCATGTTCCAATATGTGTAATCTCATATGTGGGTGATTTTCACTTTGTTTTCCAATAAAATTAAAAATAAGTGACGACGTACATATTGTATGAAGCTACTCGTATTTAGCAAATTACATCATATAGTTACAGACTTGTTTTAATCATATTCTGTACATATTACTCTTCCTGAGTTTGGTACCATCTTCGCATCCATTGTCAAGATGACACAAGTAGCTACTCTCGTCTTATCATTTCTAGTGTTGACTTTATTGGTGTCTGGGGCACTGCAAATGTCGCAATGACACAACGACGGCAAAATCTCATCGCGGGATTTGTGCCCGCCACAGGGTCCAATTCAAGAGCCGTGATAGCTCACTGACCGGTCGCCTTTAATTCAATATACTCGCGCAACCCGAGTTAGATCCGCGCCGGCACCGATGAAATTGTCGAGCTCCAAGTGCTGAATTATCACGTGCTCAGCGGTGAATTGAAACATCGCGAGGAAACCTGCATATTTTAAAGAGAGAAAGAAAGAAAATAAATTTATTTACCAGGAAATGTTTAAAAAAAATACAAATAATACACACTAGAGTAAAGAAAACAAAAAGAAACTTTTATTATTGATATAATAACAAAAAAAATATTTCGAAGATATGCGAAGTCCGCCAATCCGTGCGGGGCCGTGTGGTGGACTATGCCCTGATACCCTCTGTACAGAGGAGGCCTTTGCCCAGCATTGGGACATTTGTACTTTTCCAGGTATTTCGAGCTGCCAGTGCCGGCCGGGCTACGCGCGGCGGAACCACCGCGACCCCTGTCGGCGAGTGGTTGCGCTGCTTCTGAACTTGAGGGTGGACAGGCTTTACGACAGGAAGGTAGGATTGAACACACATACACACACATACACACACATACACATACACACGAATAGACACATGTGCGAAAACTGGGAAGGCACTGCATTATATTCGCATTGTTTAATGTGGTAGGGCCACGCAAAAGTTTCTGCTGATGAATGGGATGCGAAACAGCTATCGAACCCCCGACCCCCGACGCTTAATCCAAAATACCCTGGCAGCTGCGCCGCGGAGTCATCGAGATCCGAATGAAGATCTGATTACTATTTTCCATTTCCAGATAGTTTGGGACAACAAGCTGGCGGACAGGGAGTCGGAGCCATACCAGCAGCTAAGCTACGAAGCCATCAGGGCTGTGAGTACCGCTCCCGTAAATGGAGCACCCGGTTCGAATTCCTCGAAAGTCCCGGCCTCGATTCCTTCGTAAATGAGGTAACCGGGGCCAACTTTTTCTGAGCTGGCAACACTTTCGCAACCCATCAGATGTTGTATCCTGTATATGGATCCATGGGCGGCCGAGATCACCTCAATAAACTCGTCCGACTTCTTAATAACTTCTTAGTACCACCCTAAGGTTGACTGCTAGAAAATGCATTAAGACTCGCCTATGTACAGTGTTTATGCATGAAGTTTTTAAAATAAAATAAAATAATACTTTTATACGTCGGTTTGAGTTGCAAGGTCTAATTGAAACACATAACTTTGCATCGTTCCGTGGATTCGTTATTATAATTTCACTGGTTACGTAAGCGTTAGAATTAGAACATAGAAGAAACTTTTATATCTTATCCTTTAAACGAGCAATTCTTGTATATATATATATATATATATATATATATATATATATATATATATATAAATATGTGTATATATATATATATATATATATATAATCCGAATCTCGGAAACGGCTCCAGCGATTTTTATGAAATTTAGTATGTGCGTAGATTCGGGGGCGAAAAATCGATCTAGCTAGGTTTCATTTTTAGAAAATGCCCTTTTATCCCTGTTTTCAGAGAATAAAAAATATAATCCGAATATGACGGTAAATTTCGCCGCCAGAGAAAGTGTCATAATAGCTCGGTCGGTAATCGGGCGACCCAAAAACAGACGTCCGTGGTTCGCGTCACGATCATTTACACATTTATTTTTTTACTTTTTTTTTCGATTCCAGATCATTGCTTTCTTTATTTTTAATTTTTTGTCGATTCGTTATTTTGTTTTTTTTTTTTTCCTTTTTTTTTAAAGTTCTTTCTTTTGTGAAAAACATCAGTTCATATTTTCTTATTATTACGTCGGTAAGATCGAAAAATATTATGCATATTTCATTACTCAGTAATTTGTATCTAAATGTAATTTCCAAAATACACGATTAACCAAAAAAAAAAAAAAACAAACCGAGCAAAGCTCGGTCCTCCGGGTATTATATTATAATGAAATTGCGTCTTGAACGATATGTTTTGAATTAAAACAACACGGCGATAGGGTCGACTATTTAATTACTATACAGAATATAAATAGATGGTTACAATAAGATACACAGAAATAATTATATCTACCCGCAACCATATATATTACAAGTTGCTTCAACCATGAAGTATAATAGAAATCAAAAAAAAATAGACAAAATATATTAGGATATGACCAAAGTACAAAAATTTCAAATTGTTAATTTTAACTGCTGACTTATCACGTGCTCGACGGTGAAGGAAAACATCGCGAGGAAACCTGCATATTTTTTTTATTTTTTCCAATCCGCAGTGGGGTTGCGTGTTGGGCTATCTTACCGTCGGTACAGAGAAGACCTTTGCCCAGCTGTGGGACGTATAAAGGCTTTACACCACTCTCATACACAATCCCTCAAACCACATTTCATACTCGGCTCTCTTACGGCCGGTTCCAATATTCTATCTACAAATAGATTTTGTTACTGGAGATAGGTATTTGGCATTATCTCCGTAATACTTACGTCAAAATTCTATCCCCATTAACCAAGCCTATTTGTACATCGAATATTGAAACCGGCCGTTAACCTATTCCTGAGTTGCGTGACCACTTCATCACCAGATCGACTCTGCCTTCTCCATGACGCCGTTCTCCGACGACTTCGTAGGCGGCTCCGTCAACTCCATCCACAAAGGGGACGAGAGGAACCAGGGGGTGTTCGTCAACTACACCATCCTGGTAAGTGAACTGCCATCAGAGGAATCACTGATTGCCTCTGGCCGCCGACCATTGCCATTGTTAACAACCTAGCCAATGCCAAGAAGATGATTCATATGTTGTGCCGACCAGGAGAAGGGATGTGCCTAAGGGCAGGAGAAAATAGAAGAGAAAGAAGAAGAAACATATCGGCCCCGTTCTTCGCATGAGACTCCCGATGTGTTCAGTAATAAAACACACATTAACATGTTTTCATGCCCAAAAAACCTGCGAATACAGAGGGATATATTAGGCAGGCATAAATTTTAATGCTTTACGCGGCAGAATCGTTTGTCGGCTGAAAAGGGTTTTATTTACGTCATAACTGCTGCTCATATACGACGTCATACTTGCAGATTAGAACTTTAAAAAATTTGAGCAATCGCTTCCTCGCTCGCCGGACGAAAATACACTTCTGGTCTGTAAAGGTCTGAGATCTGTAAAGGACTTCTTAAAGGCAATAACAGAACAGTCAGCCAAAAGAAAATACTTCCATCTCACGGTCCTCTGTGAGGCCGTGGTACTTCCCCGGACGAGCCTAGGGTTAGGGATGTCAAAAGGGTATCGATATATCGATATTTTTGATTCTTTGAATCGATGTTCTCAGCCGATGTAATTGGATCTGTCATATCCATACAAAAATTCAATACCTACCAAAATAATTGTATCAAAAACGATATTTTTTTTTCGAATTCGAAACCGTCACATAGTCCGATGGTGTAAAATATTTAATATACCCTTTTTGTGGACAGAGGGGATTCGAGGAACTATATCCGATATATCGATAATTCCTCTTCGATATACCGAGGCCGGTGGGTGCAGGTCTGCGGGGGAGGCCTGTGTTCAGCAGTGGACTCGAACAGGCCGAGTTCGATATTTATATTGTCTCAAATACGTCGATGTATCGATTATTGGATACTCCTTCGGCCTCAGATGCAGGAGGGTGGGGGCGCGCGGGGCGGGGCGGAGGCGGGCGGCGAGGTGCGCCGCCAGCTGGTGGGCGTGCTGCGGCGGCGCGCGGACAACGTGGGCGCCTCCGCGCTCTGGGTGCACGCGCCCGCCGACAGCGTGCTCCCGCTCGACGGTAGGCCCACGCCCACGCCCACGCCCACGCCCACGCCCACGCCCACGCCCACGCCCACGCCCACGCCCACGCCCACTGCCCACTGCCCACGAACACACGCCACAGTCCACTGTCCACGCTCACTCACGGTCCTCCCCCTGAACATCGTCTTCAGTGTCGGTATCTGTTGTTCGAAGTCAACCAGCCCGCCGATGAACAGTGTCCAAGCCCATTGTCCACGTCCATACACGCTCCTCCCCCTGAACATCACACTCAATATCCGTATCCATTGTTCAACTTCAACTTGCTCGCCCTCGGTTACTCGGTTAGCCCACTCGCACTGCCCACTGCCCACGAATACACCTATAATCGTCCGCTTCAGTGTCCATGTCCACTGCGCACACCCACCCACTGCTCCTCCCTCTGGCCACTATTTATTGTCCAAATCCATTGCCCAATGTCAACCCGCTCGTCAATAAACCCGCGCCTACTGTCCACGAAACCCTTTGGTATTCGTCTTGTGGCCATGTACACAATATTGGTTGCAACTTTACTTAAATAACATTAATTCTCTAATAAATTCTAATAAATTCTGTCTAATAACTCTCAACAAGGTTGACACATATTGTTTAGTATACCTTTTAATGTTCAATCTTAAGGGCAGAGATTAGCACTATAAAAATTTAAATACCTACGTTTCATATTGTTTTTTTTGATTTTACGTGAATATTATACATATTAAATGAAACTACTTTACGGATTTTATCGCGTTTTTTATTTTGATTTAAATTCCCAACGTTTCGAACCCTTTCCAGCGTTCACGGTCACGCAAATTCGTAAAGTAGTTTCATTTAATGTACCTACGTTTCGTTTGAATATTAATTTTATCCATTGCAAAATGCTTGTGTTGCTTAATAGTATTATAAATCACGTGATAAATCAAATACTCGGGTGTTTCGTTCAGAAGGAAAAATATGCGCTTTTGATCCAATAAAATAAACAAAATTAGACAAAACGAGATAGAGGTAGATGGGGAAAAAATATGAAACCATACATTGTTCGTTGAAAACTTTTATTTTGTAATAGTCATTTTGTGTTACAGACGTCGACGAGTGCTCTTCTCCAGATCTGAACGATTGCCACCAGCTGGCCACCTGCACCAACACCTGGGGCAGCTTCAAGTATGTACCAAAATATGTGTAAAGATATTTTAAATCGATAAAAATTACGCTTTAAAGTAGAAATATCAGATTACGGTGGAACCCCGGTAATCTGACAAACGCTTTGCAGGGCAGTGTCTGACTCTGTTCTCCTTAAGACATAACATAGGGGGATAGGACGGATGTTTTTGAAAAGCAGTGCCTTGTAATCCGAACAACTACGGATCAAGATGATAAGATTCTATCGGAGCTAAAAGTCATGCCGAGGCGAGTGAGTTGGCCGGGGCCCGCTTTGTTAAAGGGTCGCCCCTCTCGTAAATGCAAACGCCCATGGGTGGCGGTCGCCATACACATGACACAAAAGTCGGACTCGAACCCGGCGCGGCGTCCGCAGGTGCGCGTGCCCCGACACCACGCTGGACGCGGGCGGGGGCGGGGGCGCGGGCGGGGGCGGGGGCCGCGACTGCCGCGCCTGCTCAGCCTCGCACTGCAGCGAGCGCGGCGTCTGCCGCTACGCGCACGGCCAGCCCTACTGCAGGCAAGCCTTCACCTACCGTCGCTCTCTCTCTCCCTCCCTCCCTCCCTCTCCCCCCCCCCCCCCCCCTCCCTCCCTCCCTCTCTCCCTCCCTCCCTCCCTCTCTCTCTCCCTTACTCTCTCTCCCTTACTCTCTCTCTCAATCGTCTTGTCTTTCCTCTCCCTGACACTTATCCCACGCTAATGTAAACACTCATGCACAAGCACTCACATCGATTCAATGTTCACTTTCAGCTTTGACTCAGTTTTACACTAAACTTTACTCTCCTGATTCAATTTTACACTAATTCTCATACTGAGTCAATATCACACTAATTCTCGATCCCGACTTTATTTTACATTTAGTTTCACCCTAACACAGTTTTTTATTTTTTTTTAAAAGATATATATAATGTAGTGAACACGTGATAATTCAGCACTTAAACTTAACAATTTCGTTGGTGCCGGCACCGGGTTGAACTCAGGAACTCAAGTTGTTCGAGTATATTATATTAAAATCAAGCACCTACACACACAGAGCTACTATTTCTTCATGAGGAAAGCTGCTTAATTTCAAAGAAAAAAGTATTTCGAAGATATTTGAAGTCGCAAATCCCTGGACCCTTTGTATGGTGGAGGCCTATGCCCAGCCGTGTTTTTTTTCTTTCCTCGCGATGATGTCTATAAGATTCGAAGATCGGTTCCATCGCGAGGGGGTGTGCTATTGAGATGGGGCGGTTTCCAGCTGCTCGTCGGGCTACTACGGGTCGACTTGCGAAGTGGACGGCGAGGTGGTGGGCGTAGCAGTGGGCGCCTCCCTGGCGGCGGCCCTCGTCATCGCTCTGACCCTGGCGGCCCTGCTCTCCTGGAGGTGGGTTCAGGGCTCTAGGTTACCCGTTAGCTACACTAGCTAGACTAAAATAGATCTGGGTCACTGTGGTCGTTAGTACTTACTACCCAAACCCTTCCTGTTAGCTGGCGATGAGAAACCTTTAAATAAGTTAGCTTTAAATAAGCTGGCTGCTCTGGTGTCGTTAAGTTTGGTTTAAGGTTCTGGTTAATAGGGCTTTAGGCTACCCGTTAGACTATAATAGATCTAGATCGCAGTGGTCATTAGTACTTATTATCCAACCCTTATTACACAATATACCCGTTAGCTGGTGATGAGGAAACATGTAAAGCTACGGGTATGAAGGGATTTGAGGGGTTTGTCTTGGGAATGGTGCAATATTTCAGGTGGCCCGCGGTGACAGTCTTCGCTGTTGCACGAATGGGCAGGTCCGGGGAAGCACCACGACCTCACAGAAGACCGGCGCTAACTGGATTTGTTCTACTTCCGCGTTTCGTTTGATGAGTGAAGTAGCCGGGGCCCGCGTTATTAAAAGGTGGCAACGCGTCCGCAGCCCTACGTGTGTTGCTCGTTTGCCAAGTTCTACCATTAAAAAAAAAAACTCTTTTCGAACAATCGTCAGCAACAGCGCACTGCGTTCTGGGATTCGAACCGCACACAGGATAAAAGGTAACAGGGGAACTCGGACTCAATTCACTCACAAAATTTTACGATCTAGATTTGGTGACCACTTTCTTAGCAAGAAAATAACTTCTTAACAAAGAATAAAACGCTTGATCAATTTAAACGTAAAATTAAAAGTCAACTTTTGGTGAAAGCATATTATACCATTGCGGAATGTCTCGACGACGCCAATATGTGGAGTTAATACTGATGATACTCACGTAGGGTAGAATAAGACTATTATACCTGTAACATTATATTGTAAACTGACCTTTTAAAAAAGAGCAACTGTTGAGTTTCTTGCCGGTCTCTTCTCAACAGAAACTGCTTTCCGGACCGGTGTTACCTTACGAACCTATATGTAATCTTTGTTGTAAAATTTGACGATTCCATAAGAGCGCGCAAGAGTCTATTGGAAAAAATGTATTTTTGATTTTGATTTAATAACCCCATCCCCAGCCGCAAGTGGTCTCGGGAGCAGAAGGCGGCTGGAATGGGATCTCCCGTCTTCAGCTACATGGCGGCCAACACGGTGAAGACTCCCCCCGTCGGGCAGCCGCCCTACCAGGTATACATGCTCGCGCCTCTAAAACGGGATGGACAGACGTCACACACTTCGGTCGATGTGTGTGTGTGTTTGACCTGTTTCGAATACAGGCCAAATTCGGACGACTTTTATATTTACGAATACAATTTTTTTTAAATACGTCATAATAGTAGTGATTGTATGTAAGTAATCGATTACCATCCCCTGTAAACATGTACAAGACATTAAGAATGCCAAATGCATTACCGACCTCTAAAGAATTTCACTTCCGCTAACCGCTAACAAGCTTGTACTTTTACCCGCCCGTTGAGTAAATAGCCAGAACGCATCTTCTGTAAATCGTTTGATGTCAACCTTCGGGCATTTAGTATTAGGCGCAATTTCTAAACATGGTGTGATTGTATTGCCTACTCTCGTCTCATTACAAATTAAGGTGTAGTTTGATTTCGATGAACATCCAATTGACAGTAGTAATTAATGTTTAATTGGTGACAGAATTTCAGCTATCGCACTATTACTCCCCTTGAATGCATTCAACCTTAATGTAATTTGTAGCGGACGGATACGCTTGTAAAATATTTACGAAAATGGGTATTTTCGTAAAAAAGAGAGATTCGCGCGGTAACACAGCTATACGAAAAACAAAGTTATCAGTATATTCTCGTGTTATCAAAGTTATATGAAAAACTAGCTTTTCGCCCGCGGCATCGCTCGCGTTCAAGCCCTTAAATAAATATCTTTCAACCCTTTACAAAACTTTTTCCAATTAAAAAAATAGCCTATGTCCTTTCTCAGGCTCTAGACTATCTGTGTACCAAATTTCATTTAAATCGCTTCAGTAGTTTTGAAGTGAAAGCGAGACAGACAGACAAAGTTACTTTCAGATTTATAATATTAGTATGGATGAAGAAGATAAAGTGCAAATATTAAAAAAAATCTATTAATGCTTCACAAAGAAGCTGAACCGCAAAATCTATCTGTGATTTATAAATTGTCATTCGTTTTGATAATCGATATATACTTTATTTAATTAAAAAAAAATCTCGTATTTTTTTACTTTGTTTTTTATTATATTTCAATGTCCAATGTCTGGTGTCACCTTGTGTTTCCTTACCAGCAAACGACCGCTATAAACTTTTTAAGTGCAGATGAAAATTAATATCTTTTAAAAAAAAATCGATGTTGGTTATTTCGAGATCCGAGTGTATTTTCCGTTTCAGGTGTCGCTTGAAGAGAGGATGAGGTGGGCGCAGATCGCCGAGGCGATGGCCCAGGCCAACCATTACGCGGTGAGAAAAAAAAAAAACAGAACTCACCTAAAATAAGTCATTTAGTAAAAGTAGCACGTGTTAGTACTAGTAGTAATCGTAGTAGTAAATTAGTATTAAAAGGGAGCGTAATTAGCACAGGAGTATTAAAAGAATGTTCGTTCACAAAACGGAGTGGCAGCGTTGTTCGCGACTGTATCATGAGGGGGGGGATTAAACGTAATATGAAGGTATAAACTTTTGACTACCAGATGGCGTAGTGGTTAGAGAAAGTGTCTTCTGCGCCAGAGGGAGTGGGTTCGGTTTCCCCTAATACAAAAATAGTGTGTGTTGTACATAATGTCTTTCTACCATTTGGTTGCTTTATCTCTAATATATTTTTCTCTATACTTCCATAATAAATCTCAAAGTTAATTTTTTCATACACTATTTTAACCTTAATATTTGTTATAAAGACGAAAAATAAACAAGTCTATATTTTCATTTTAAAAAATTCTTGTAAGAATTTCTACTACAAGACATGATAATTATGTCATCTCTTGAAAATTTAATAATTAAATTGAAATGGAAGATAGCGAAGAAGACAGAAAAAAGTTACTCTTCAAATTTAAGCATCGTTCAAGAGTATATAGTATATTTATAATACGTATTTATTTACAAAAGAAAAGTACATTTGATTATCCATGTTTATCAGTTACCTAGTACCGATAGTACAAGCTTTGCAAAGATTAAGACTAGATAATGTTCTCTCTGTCTGCAAAAGTATATAATTATAATACGTATTTATTTACAAAAGAAAAGTACGTTTGAGTACATATGTTAATCAGTTACCAAGTACCCATAGTACAATTCGCTCAGTTTGGGACTAGATAATGTCGATCTACAAACACAAGGGCATTTCGCGTAAGGTCTCTGCAAACACAAGCGCCTTTAACGTAAGGTCTCTGCAAACACAAGCGCAATTAGCTAAGGTCACAAATCAAAATTCCCACAGCAGCCGGACCCCGCGCAGATGGCGACCAGACCCTCGTCCGCGATGTTCGGATACCCGACCCTGGCGCCGGTGCCGTTGCCCAGGTGGGACCAGCGCCAGCTGTAAATCCGCCTCATATCACCGTTTCTTTAAGATTAGGGACAGTTCATCATCATCATTTCAGCCTGTTTGGGTCCACTGCTGAACATTTGCCTCCCCCACAGACCGCCACGGAGCCCGATCCTGAGCTGACTGCAACCAGCGCAGGTCGTCACTCCATCTAGTGGGGGGTCGTTGTCTTAGAGACGGTTAAAGTTCAAACATCGCCCATACTTGAAATTTAAATTGTTTATAGTGCTAATCTCTGCACTCAAGATTGAACATTAAAATTTGTAGAAAAAGTACGAAAAGATTGTCGCCGCTGTGGGTATCGAACCCGCGTCTTCTGCATTTGCGGCCTGACGCTCTAGCCACTGAGCTAAGTGTTTCAATACCCAGACTTGAGTTCAATCTGAGATTAGAGACAGTTTAACTGTAGGGCCGTGAAACAGTAACTTGCTCTCGACCACCAATGGTTAACTGGAAGAAAATGCTATTTAGCACAATTTAAATAAATAATATTTTGTACAAACTTTGAATACAATAAAGAATATAAAAACAAACAAACAGTATGCTGTTGTACCAAATAATGTCAAAATAATGCCGAAATTTCACCTTGACTAAGTCCAATCTGAGATTAGGAACGATTTAAATCCAAATTCCACTCTGACTCATAATTAATCCAATTGATGTTGATTCTTAAATGTGATGAACATTGATTCTTAAAGTACAAATCTGGAAACGATTTCCATCTTAGATTTAAATCGAAAATTAAGTTTAAAATCTAAGATGGATATCGATTTCACATTATAGTGTGACGGATATCGGTTTCAGATTAAAATCTCATATGGATATCGTTTTCAAATTATAATGTAAGATTGATATCGGTCTCAAATGTAAATATATGACGGATAACTTTCCAAATCGAAACCCAATCTGGATCTCCAAATATAATTACAGTCAATATCCGAAATCCGATAACACATGGTTCCATTATTTTCAAGTTGAGTTTGTTTCCTTACTGTCGGTTAGCACTTAAGTAAATATTTTTTTTTTATTTTTTAACCGGAATTAATATCGAGATTCTTCCGCCGATTTGCGTCAAAGTGAAAAACGCGATCCGGAATAGATATGAGAAATTGCTCGTTTTGAAAGCAGGATGGGAGGTCACCACTCGGGCGGTCACCACACGGGCACAATGAACACCGTCGCCTCAAGAGCTAACACGGTGGCGTCGCACCTCAACCTATACGGTAGTATACCTCGCTTTTGAATTTCACCTCGTTTTAAATTGTCCATGTTTTAATCAACTTTATATGCTGACTGAACACGTCCTAGAGTTAAAACTAAATTGAAGTATCATGAAGCCTTTATTTTTAGAGACCAATGTTATTACATACCAATACGAGTTAATAATGTAATATATATATAATACAATATTACACAAGCGCACCATAACTGAGGCACTGAAATTACGCCAATTGGTGTAATAAGATTTCAATTCTATCGACTGTATCTCTTCTTGTATCTCTTTCCGTATTGTATCTTCTATATCATCTGTGACATTCACTTATATATGTCATATAATGTAAAGCGGAACAATTTTTAAATGCCGCGCTGTATGGACATGCGTTCACTTTATTAATACATCATCATTCTCGCAGAATGTATTGGTTAATAGCAGATTTTTTTTATGCGATAACTTGTCAAACGAGCAGACGGTTCACCTGATGTTAAGTGAACACCGCCGCCCATGGACATCTGCCACACCCGAGGGTTACAGATGCGTTGGAAGACGTTTTGAAAATTGGGCTCTGGCTACCTCACTCACCAGACGAAACGCGAAAGTATTTGTCATACTACCATTTTACGCTGGTCTTCTGTGAGGTCGTGGTACTTACCCGCACGGGCCTGGCCATTCGTGCAACAGCCGAGGCTGCTGCGTGGCTCTACCACCGTAAAAGATATGTTTTAAATTAAGATTGAAATTAGTGTTTAATGATCTAAGAATTCTGCATTTTATAACTTAAAAGTTAGTAGGCGGTTCACCTGATGTTAAGTGCTTACCGCCACCCTTGGACCACCTTGCAAAAGTGTTACCAACCTATTTACAATCGACCGCAGTTATCTCCCTACACAGAAGAATGACTGTGTAATACTTCCACTTCACGCTAGTCACGGTATTTCTCGGATAACGGCCGGTTTCAATCAAGTAATAAGATGGACAGATTGATTTGGTTACTGGGAATAGAATTTTGACGAAAGCATAATAAAGCTAATGTCAAATACCTATCGCTAGTAGCCAAATCCATCTGCGGAAAGAATTATCAAACCGGCCGAAACCTTCGAAGATATCTGAAGTGTGCCAAACCACGGTGGGATATGCCTTAATACCGTGTGTAATAAAGTCATTGTCCAGCTTTGGGACATACAGGTAGTTACTTTACTTTTCCCTTATCGTTTCTGTGAGTTACAGCAAATTACTTTCTTAATTGTATATTTATTAATTGGGTTTTCATCGGTTAAAGGCTACGCGGGGCACGTGGACTCCAGCGGCTCGGAGGCGTCGAGCCGGGCGGCGGACAGGAGCGACCTGCTGGTGCCGAGGCCCAGATCGCGCGCGCCCGCACACGTGAGTCGCCCAAGCCCACTGCCCCGATCTCACGAACACTGCCCCGATCTCACGAACACTGCCCCGATCTCACGAACACTGCCCCGCGCCGAACACTGCCCCGATCTCACGAACACTGCCCCGATCTCACGAACACTGCCCCGATCTCACGAACACTGCCCCGATCTCACGAACACTGCCCCGATCTCACGAACACTGCCCCGATCCACGAACACTGCCCCGATCTCACGAACACTGCCCCGATCTCACGAACACTGCCCCGATCTCACGAACACTGCCCCGATCTCACGCACAATGCCCCGATCTTACGCAGAATGCCCCGATCTCAGGCACAATGCCCCGATCTCACGCACACTGCCCCAATCTCACGCATACTGCCCCGATCTCACTCACACTGCCCCAATCTCCCCGCACGAACACTGCCCCGATCTCACGAACACTGCCCCGATCTCACGAACACTGCCCCGATCTCACGAACACTGCCCCGATCTCACGAACACTGCCCCGATCTCACGCCCACTGCGCCGACCTCACGACCACTGCCCCGTCCTCCGAACACTGCCCCGATCTCACGAAACACTGCCCCGATCTCACTCATCTCACGAACACTGACCCGATCTCACGAACACTGCCCCGATCTCACGAACACTGCCCCGATCTCACGAAATTGCCCCGATCTCACGAACACTGCCCCGATCTCACGAACACTGCCCCGATCTCACTGCCCACACTGCCCCGATCTCACGAACATCTCACGAACACTGCCCGATCTCACGAACACTGCCCCGATCTCACGAACACTGCCCCGATCTCACGAACACTGCCCCGATCTCACGAACACTGCCCCGATCTCACGAACACTGCCCCGATCTCACGAACACTGCCCCGATCTCACGAACACTGCCCCGATCTCACGAACACTGCCCCGATCTCACGAACACTGCCCCGATCTCACGAACACTGCCCCGATCTCACGAACACTGCCCCGATCTCACGAACACTGCCCCGATCTCACGAACACTGCCCCGATCTCACGAACACTGCCCCGATCTCACGCCCACTGCCCCAATCTCACACACAATGCCCCAATCTCACGCATACTTCCCCAATCACGCGCACACTGATCCAATCTCACGCACAATGCCCCGTCCCACGCTGGCCGCCGCACAAACAAACAGTACAATAAAGCCAAATGACTACCACGTCCATTCCCACCCCACGCTAAAACACGACATCCCTAACCGTACTGGAGCCCCCACTGCAACCACAACAACACACAACACTACCTTCCGTAGCCATCTTAAATAAATTATATTCCGTCAGATAAAACTGTCGATCATGGATCCACAACACCCGATAGGCTGCGGAGAAATTGCTAACCATTAGAAAAGTGGGCTGATTACCTCACTCACCAAACGAAACACCAAAGTATAATACCTCTACTTCACGTCGGTCTATTAAGGCCGTAGTAGTTCTCCAGACCAGTCTACCCATTCCTGCAACAGCAGGAACTGCTGCGAGCCCCACCGCAGCGGAACAACGTAAGAGAGCTACGAAATACACAGTATCCACTTCACGATCTTCGACGATACAGGCCAATCCATAAAAAAAAAAAAAACTGTACCGCAAGGCGACGAGCAAACAAAACCTATTAAATTGTCATTTCTTCACAGAATCAAACCGGAATCTACTACGATGTGGAGTATGAGAACGCGCCCGAACCCATATACGGCAGCAAAGGCATCCCTCTATCCACATACACGGTCAGCAGGGGCCCACCGTTCTACAGGACTTAATGCACGCGAGCGCCCTCTATAAACACGTACCTTCATACATACCAAGACTTATGTAGCTTAATAATGTATTATTCGTTGATATGGAAAGAATCGGCGGATCCACAGGAAAATGTACATTTAATAATTTTTAATTTAATTATGTATATTATTTAAAAAATAAAAAACCAAACTATACAAAGTAGCAAAGTATGTATCAATTAACGATCATGTTATGTCGAAAAATGTTTATTACAGTGATATTAAAATCTTCTGTTATTAAGTCTGAGCCGTCCAAAATGCACACAGTTGTAGTTTATCGACAATGTGACTATTTTAATCTGTATTCGTAAATTTTTAGAAAAACAAAACGATGATATAAAAAATGGCGGGAACTGAAAATACTGAAGTTCGGTAGTAGGAATAAAAACCACAAAAAATTCAACGTTTGTCGGATAAATTATTTTATATTAATTATAACGAATACTAAAATAAATAATAAAGTAATCGACCAATAACTTAGTTATTTAATTGAAAATTGTAAATATGATATACTATGAGATATAGATAAAATATATGATATATTTTTCTTAAAGTCACTCACAATTTGTAAGGGCCATCGAATTTAGCTTGTACTATGCTCGATGTCTATAGACTGAAGCTTGTATCACATTTATAACAATTTCACCAACTTAATCGTAAATACATCTAATATATAAAATTCTCGTGTCACGGTGTTTGTAATTGAACTCCTCCGAAACGGCTCGACCGATTTTCGTGAAATTTTGTGTGCATATCGGCCAGGGTGGAGAATCGGACAGCATCTATTTTTCATCCCCCTACATGTTAAGGGTAGTCCACCCCAAACACTTTTTTCTACCCTACAAATAATTTATATGGCAAAACATCGTTTGCCAGGTGAGCTAGTATGTTATATATATTTGTAAACATGGAAAGATGTAGTTTTAGAATTATCTGGCTTACTACATATTATATTTAATCTACACCGTACTACAGAATTTGATATTTGACAGAATTGAATATTTTTTACATACATTATTCAAGAAATTCTAACAATAAATCGGAACTTTGCTATTGACAAATTGGTATGAGTTAAAAGCTATATTACAAATAACTTACTTTTTTTAGTCAAAATTGTTGAAACACTGCTCCAAACGCTTAATAATGAGAATCGGAATATTGGACGATTCGATGTCGTAACGAATAAATGTAGTCATTTTAGCTTACAATTAGTCGTAATTGCATTTATTTTGTACATTGCTTAAGTTCTGTACGTAAGCTTTATATGAACTTAGTTTATATTTTATATTGTTGTAGAAATTAAATACGATACGAAAAGTTTGTTACTCTTTTGGAATTTTATTTATTACCCTCCGTTTATCAAGGGATTACATTTGTACGTAGTTCCTTACGCTTCTTGAGTAGTTATGAGTTGTTAGAGATCTTTACACAAGAAGAAAATGTTATGCCTTCCTACACTATCCAACCTCTTGTTGAGTGCAAGCTCGCTCTCTGTTTGTAACATCTGGTATCAGACTGAAAAAATGTGTGGTACATACAGCGTGTCGTTACCATCGCGACAATAAATGAACGCACGTCTAACGCTACTTGCCAATAATCATAAAAACATATTAAAGTTAAACAAAATCCATAATTAAAAAAAAAATGTTTTTCAAACAAACTAATTAAGTAAAAAAGAAACAAATTTTGTAACACCTATACAACTCGCGCCACAGGGTCGCATTACAAGCCTCTCCTTCTAACAGTATGTTTTGTTTCTTTTAAATTCATTCAACCCATTCATATGCTATGTGACCTTTACAAATGAACTTTACTTTACAGTAAGGGTGTTCTAAAATTCTTTGTTTTGGAAAATTTAATAACTCTGTAAATATTGGTGTTTAAAGTTAAAGTTATCCCCTATATGTGTGTTCATTTATTGTCGCGATTGTAAAGACACGCTGTATATTGCATAAATTAGGCATGTCGTTAAAATATCGATATACCGATATTTTCGGATCCAATATATCTTCAATATATAAAATATTCAAAATCTACTAATGACCGTATTTTTTCAAATTCGAATCCGGCACATCTACGGACTCTGTGTCCGTAGATATAAAATCAATACTTGATGTACATTTTTGTCGACAACGGGTCATAAACAGAAATCTATCGATATGTCGAGGCCAATATTGATAATTTTATAAATATCGATATATTTCTTCAATTTCGACATCCCTAGAGAAAATCCGTTGGACATCACCCTATTAGCTAAAGAAGATTCGATGTGCGATAAAAAGGTTATTAAAATGGTGTGTGGGGGGTAAAAAGAAACTAATCACTCGTAACTTTTATTGTTATTTTATAACTTTATACATAAATAGTATGGCGTATATTAAATGCAAACATTTGAGATTTTTTTCATTAACCTACTTATAAACTAAAAAGTTAAAAGTAAAGTGAATCGTTAAAATAAATTACTATTATCTACAGACTATACTTTTAGGTGAAAAGAAGCTGATAAATTATTTTAAGTTTGTCATTTCGCACCAATTAAACACAATACTATAAACATGAGTGTCTAACACGTAGTCATACATAAAAATTCAACATAAATGGAAAACAAAATTAGTTAACGAAAAGACAATAATTTGAAAGCCAAAAACGTTTTACTTTCTTATAATCAATCAGTCGTATTTTATAGTTTGTGCAAATTAATTTAAAGTGCCTTTAAATTAATGTAATAATAAAAAATAATGTAAAATTAATGTGTAAGCCTAAAGGCTGAGAAATGTGCTCAATTGGTTTTAAAAGACAAGGGCATTTGTTTAATTCAGCTTCGACGTTACTTAATAAATGCAAAAATTCAATCTACGCCTTTTCAACTGTTACGAAACGAATAATATTTTTTTCGAATGACCCCAAATTCCACCCCTGGCGCTACTTCTTAAGGTAGCAGTTGTTCAGGACGTTGTAGTTGAAACGGTAGCCGGATTCAGGGATGCCTTCGGTGACCAGGCCGTCGCTACGGAAGTACACGTATATGGGCCCCGGCGGGGCGGCTGAGGAAGGGGGGGGGGGGGGGGGGGGTTCTATTATTTCAACATGTTCAAAGTCGAAAATGTAATGTGCATATAAATTATTCGCGTTCGCTTTTAATCCATATGAGCAACCTGAGTTCGATCCCCAGTGCCAGCACCAATGAAATTATTAATTTTAAGCGCTGAATTATCACGTGCTCAGCGGTGAAGGAAAACCTGCATATTCTCGAAATAATGATAAAAGAAATATTTCGAAGATATGTGAAGTCCGCCAATCCGCAGAGGGGCCGCGTGGTGGACTATGCCTTGATATCCTCTGTACAGAGGAGGCCTTTGCCCAGCAGTGTGACATTTATAGGATGTAAATTTACTTTACTTTACTTTACTTTACTTTTTATAGTTTGGTAAAGTTTTAATGTTTAGCAATAGTCGCTTTAGGTTGAAGTAGGTTTGTAGGTAACGCAAAACTATCGTAAAGCCGGTTTTAGACTGTGGCACTCTTCAAACCAGTTGGTTAAGGTCTATCAATAGGGGCACTCACAAGCGATGATCTGGTTCTGAGCGCTGGTGCCGCAGAACTTGGAGCCGCGCAGACCCTCCACCGTCTCCGCTTCGGGGATGAAGAGGTAGTCCTCGGACTGGGGCGCCCCCGGGGTCACCGGGTTCACCTGGCAATCGGTGTCCAGGTGCGCGTTGTCCTCCGACCTGTACGCCAGCTGGAAGTTGGCGGCAGTCAGCCTGCAAGGATTTTATATTTCTTTACGAGGCTGTGTACAAACGTTGCAAATTGGACTTTATGTATTGGGCGTAAAGTACCCTTTGCCTGTAGCATAAGGTAACTGACGCCTTATGAACCCATATACATGATTTTTTATGTAAAACTTGACGATTCATAAGAGCGCGTAAGCGTCTATTTGAATATTTTGATTTTGATAGGTGTCACCTATCAAGATCAAAATCAAAAGGGATCAGGTAAGGTCCCTAATCATCTACCAGATGGAACCGTCGGTAATGCACCCTGGCTGTAACCACAGCTGGGGAAACTGTTTGGAGTTGGTTACCAACGCATGTTTCGTATGAACGTTTTTTTTTATGTGAGAAAGTGGCATACGAGCTGGCGGTTCACCTGATGTTAAGTGATAACCGCCGCCCACGGACATTTGCAACACTCGTATGGCTGCAAATGCGTTGCCACCTTTAAATAATGTGGGCCCCGGCTACCTCACTCACCAGACGAAACGCAGAAGTGTAACACTTCTACTTTACGCCGGTCTTGTGTGAGGTCGTGGCACTTACCCGGACGGACCTGCCCATTCGTGCAACAGTGTTGCGTGGCCCTACCACCGCGTTCCTCTCCTAATGATCATCATTCGAGTTTTAATTGGTTCCACATGACACGGTGGATCCATTGTCAAGCCAGTGGCTTCGCCGTCGGTGGTCGTGAGTTCGATTTCCACGCGGGACTTGTATTTATGTGACCCAAAGGCAATTGTTTCGGATCTGAGTGTTTCTTCCCTATGAGGATTGACGTCAGGTAGACGGTCGAACAAAATCTAGCCAATACCATTAACTACATTCCTAACATGTTGCGCCGACCCCACCAAAGTAGAACCAGAAGAACGAAGCTGATAAAAGCGTGTTAAAAAAGAAATTCCACATATTACCGTCGTCTTCATTGCGGTCAAAATAATTCAATCTATTGAGAATTTTCTCCCATTCAAAAATATAAATTTTGTGTTTAATGTTAAATGAAATCTGTCCGGTGATCATAGACTAAAGAGTTCAAAACGTCGGGTCGGGATCTAAAACCAAATTAAATGCGAAATAAGCCCTGACAAGGTCTTGTGGAATTTGTTTAGAGAGTACATTATGTATTATTTCCATGTTTCCCCGTTGGGATCTAAATAGGGTGCATTTGACGACCCGAATGGCGTAGTAGGTAGTGTACCTGCCTCC